CTCTCTCTCTCTCTCTCTCTCTCTCTGTCGGCCCAATCGCTTGTGTAATGCCTTACAAAATATAAACACGTTTAATATTTAATACACTATATATACGGGTATTATATATATATTAAACACATAGAGATTGCTCTCAAAAATGCTATACAAAAGTGAAATTCAATTTTCATGAGAAAAATATTTATCAATTGATTTGAAAGGAAAATAAAAAAATGATTTCAAGAAATAAATGCATTCATTGAATACATATTTGACTTACGTTTTCATATATGGTATTGAAATTCAACGCTTTAACAGTAGAAATGCATTCAAATATACAATATATGGCTATTTATTTGTATATGTTTTGAAAATATCATTCAAATGAGTAAAATAGTAGTAAAATATTTAATATATTATAAGATATATACTATAGATGTGTATAATATTAGAGATAAATATATATTTAAAAGTTATATTTCGTTCACAAAATAAATAAATATATATTTTTTGTTATATATTATGAATATTTGCACAAAAAATCACATCAAATCCAGTATTGAATTGAAAAAAAACTAAATATAAAAATCAATTCAAATTCAATCGGAAATAAAACTCAAATAAATCTAACATTTAATACAAAAAACTCAATTCAAACACAAATCTAAACATGTATTACATATTATGGACGCCTTTTTCGGGCCATTAATGCAATTAAAAGGCGTTTAAAACACAAATATTATGAAAAACTTGTGACAAATAATTTGCGACAAAACTTTGCGATTCATACGATTGTTACACAAAAAAGACACTATTATTACAACAATAATAATAACCGCAATAATAATGCATTCATACGATTAGTATCGATACCGCACTTAAGCCCATAGGCTTTGCACTCGACATGTATTGAGTGAACGCTAAATATAATATCGCTTTTGAAATAACGCACAAAAAAGTCATAATATTTTTCTTATTGTTATTTTTGGTTCACTTTTTTTGAGTCGAGATTTTTGTGTGTCTCTCGTGTTTTCACTGCACATCTCGTAATGGCATATATCACGGCGCGTACGCAAACAACGTTACGAGTTTACCCACTTTTCGGGTACCCGTTTTGCCCCTTCCACACAATGAACGTGTGTTTAAGTGAATGCGTGAGAGTTTGGCTGTAATACAGCCGTTCATTGGAGGTTACGTTATATGTGAGCTGTTTGTGACGTTTGATTGCGATATTTATCGCTATTTTCAAAGTGACTCTTTAAAGCTGGTAAAGTATTAGGCGCTGTTCATAAATTACGTTATCAATAGTTGTGCAAACATTGTCGGCTGCCACGAATACCACTTTTACCATGTGTTGCGAAATACCTGTGCAGTTGCACACAGAATATTCTAGTGTAGTCTATCTTGGGATTGAATTATGCAAGTTTTGCACAGAATATTATGCTTGAATTAGTTTTGATTAACACTTATATATTGTCTATTATTGTAATTATGTATATTATACTTACATCATTAATTTAATTCGAGCTCAAAGTGACCTTACTAAAATATTTTTGAAATATTTATATATTTAAAGTATGCGATTATTTTAAGCTCATATACACAGTGCGCTCATTAATGCCGGAATATCTATGAATATTCATAAACATTATTAAGTTTCAAAATAAATATTTGACGTTTACTTAACATAAAAAGGTTTATTTCATTTAAGCGCATCATTTAATATACGGTATAACACTGTTTTGAGCTATAAATAATTTAAATGAGTATATTTTAGGCTAGTTTTAAATGTCCCGCAGACATTTCTTGTAATTTATTTACTTTGAAACTTTTTTACGTAAATTTTATTATAAATATTTTAATATTCATATTTGTCTAAATTGTTAATAAAAATACTCCTAAAAACTAAAGTCAAAAATTCAATAAATAGTCATTTAATGCGATTATAATAAGCAAAATATTTAAGTGATTAAATTCTTTAAAAATATATATAATGTAACATTTTATGTATTTATTTTCAAACAGATTAGAATTTTAATAAATAATAAAAACATTTTAATTTAATACTGTATACAAAGTTTTGAAAATTTATAAAATACATTATAAATACACAAAAATATATAATACTTTATAAATATCAAAAGACAATACAATTCGTGAGCATCTCATGGCTTAAGCGCTTAAGTTTTTGTCGCAAAAATGCACTCATTTTGCTGTCAAATCTCAGGACATTAAGTCAAGCAACGGATATTTGGTGTCGAGAATCTGATCCAACGTATAATTATCCAACATTTGTGTGTCGTTGTCGTCGTAGACGAGATCGTTAATCAATTTATAGCCCAAATTATGCATCACATCATAGCAGTACTCTTGAACCTCCAGCACATCATTCACAGACATGCGGGGTAACCACGAAAGCGGTGCCGACGCAGAGTTCCTGATTGTCGAGTGCGGGTTCGACAGTATATCGTCCGCACGGGTGTGCTCTTCGACCCACGTCTGGACAGTCGGCGTGTACTCTAACCCCAACCTCTCGTATAATCGTTTGGCAGTTTCTACGGGTTTGAGTGCCATGTCTTCGTAGCGCACAAACGTTATGTTATCTGTAATGCAAACAACACTTAAGATATGCAATATAATTGTAAGCTATGTTTGACACCCATTGACACGAAATTCAATTAAGACCCCCCAAAACCCCCGGCAGGCAAACCACTTGAAACCTCTATACCTCGAGACCATCTCTTGATGAGTAGGAGAGCGCTGATGTCATCCCTCATCCTCTGGCAGAGGACGTCCACATCTGTACAGTTGGGGGAATTGAGACACCACTGCATGCGATATCTTGAGCTCATCACTCCTCGAGGGTCTCGCACTAGGAATGCCATCTTTATCGGCGTCTCTGAGAGAGAGAGAGAGAGAGAGAGAGAGAGAGAGATAAAAGGTTTTTAATGAGAAAATAAGTTTTAGTAAAAAGATAGCAATAAATTCATTGCATTTATCAATAAGAAAACGTAAACATATCTACAATTCTCTGTCGTTTTTCCTTTTTTATTTGTCCATTGAATCTGTCTTTCAATGTCTAGACTCATGAATATTATGCATATTACAAATGTATGTATAGCTAGAAATGTGTTAACCCGGGGATATGGATGTTGGCATTGTTTAAAGTTATAAATAATGTAATGTTATGACAATTTTTTGACAAAACTAACATGGTTTATTAAGTTTGTATTTGTATGTTAGTGATGTAGATGCATTCCTGACATGTTCTGCGATGTGTATGGTTAAAAAAGTGGGCCTTACCTACAATACAAACACACACCCCTTGAGCACAGGCATCCTTGGCCACTCTGCCGACCTGTTGTCAAAATAATTAATTAATGATTATAAGTACTAGTATTTACTGTATATGCTATTTACAGGTTCATTGAATATGCAATTGATTATTATTTGGATAAATGTATGGATAACTGAGAAATTATTTAATTTTTTCTTCTTTCAAATTGTGGTAAAACATATCATAAGATTTCAAAGTTATTTAAAAGTTATTTTTTTATGATAAAAGCGCAAAATTATTTTAATTAGGTATTACGAAATACTTGTAATGTTAACAAGTATTGATGTTTTTGATTATTAAAATAGTTTTGTTTTATTTTGTTTAGCATTTAATTTTTATTTATGCAGAATATATGCCAGAAAAGTGTTTTATACGTTATTTTTATTATATTAATAATTATAACTTTTCCTGTTTTGTGTTTTTCATTGTTTAATTAATTGAAATTTAGTACAAATTGTTAGTG